CACGTTTAAGCGGGCAAACATTAAAATAAATTATAATACTATGCAAGAGAAAACTAAAAGAAAATATATAAGCGTAAAGAAAACCAACACAAACCAAAAAAAGACGACACCTTCTAGCAGAATTACAATAATAATTAAGAACTTCACTTTGAACACTTTAAAAATCGAGAAAAGACGACAACAGAGTTATAGTTAAACAAAGGAAACCAATCCCCCAGCCCAGAATCCCATAGACAAAGGCACAATTTTCGAGAACTCAATTAAAATGTATACTCTTGATTTCCCTACGTCTCGATACCCTATGGTTTTCAATTTTTGTAGGACGAATTTTTAGCAAAAAGATGAAAATATATAGTCGAATACAATGAAAATTCTACCAAATGGGAAATAATAATTAATTGGTTGTGAATGCAGCTTGGATGTTAATTCGATTCAGGAACAATGAAATCCCCAATTGCTGAACGTTTGTTTATTCTTCCGGCCGTACACTGTTCGTGCGAGTGGCGATTGTCAATGGTTTTTTTTTTCAGTGTACTTGCAGGCATTGTTCACACCCATTCACAGGATAACTCATTCATTTTTTAACCCAAAAACCCATTGAACCATGTAGCAACAAATCGAAACATAATCAAAACATTTTTTAGGTTTCCAATCAAATTGAATTAAATATACAAAAGTAAACTTTAATTAAACGATGAGAAGAAAATAAAAAGAAAATAATAATTGAAACTACAGACCATAGAAAGCTATAGGAAGTGAGGAAGTAAATAGAAATTCTAAATGTATACAACAGTCTAATGATAGATCTTCATCGTCGAAGGTGAAAGCTAATCAAACACGGGACAAAACAAGGAGAAATTTACCAAATACCAAATCACAACATTTTAACATAATTTTTACAGTTTGTATAAGTTTGACAAGGGCAGCGTAAATAATAATAATTAATAATGTAAAACCAAAAACTCAACCAGTCAGTTGGAAGACTTTAGCGAAATGAAATAGTTAAATTATGAAACTCATTTGATGGCGAATGAACGTGGCGTGAAACTTTTTGTACGCATTTGACTATTTTTAAAGCATTTTTATTAAATATATATACATAGTCACTATTATACGAATGTTTGAGAGCCAAACAAAGTACTCATTTAATTAAGTTCACGTGCACACGACGCACTGGAATCTCTTTTAACAAATTGTTATCGGATATTTGATTTGTTTGAGCGCAATGTATTGTTAGTTATATCTCTTATCACACTTTCCTTTTGGCAAGCGCGAGGCAGCAGGATACACGAGGGTAAAAATTGCATATTAAATACAATTTATAAGTCAGCCACACGAAGTCTAAATTCGAAGCGAAAATCAATAGCAAACTGCAGCAGCATTGGTAACATGTGTAGCCCATTAACAATGGACAACAGCAAGAAACAAACATTAAAATTAAATTTTTATTGCAAAACCTAATTAGCAGCTGCAACAAGAACAACAAAAGTATAAAAAAGAACATACAATGGATGTTAATACTTTTTGAGAACAAGAAAAACAAAATATGCAACAGTAAAAAAATGAAATACACAATGATTATACAATTGCAAATGCAACTTAACACTCAACATAAGGATAGTGAAAATGTGTGACAAATGATTAAATTACGAAATCCTTTTGAAGTGAAAACAAAAGAAAATAAAATGTGAAATTTAAAAAAGAAACCAATATTGTTGTGTTTTATTACTTGATTTATTGGGGTTTCAGATTGCAATGGGAGGTTACTCATTAAATTATTAATTAATAAAATTGCATGAATTACGGGAAACTTGTCCTGGTTTCTTGACCATATCCTTTAATATTTAAAATAAATATTTTATTTCCAAAAGCTTTTCCTGGCATTAAAAAAAAACCGCCAGTGCTGCCAGATGCTATAAAAATGTTTCGTGTCTTACTTTGTTTATTACACGCCAGGTGGCGTCTTCTTCGCAGATATGTAAATGTGATGTAAAATTTTAAGGCTCTTGGCGCGCAACATTTGGGTTGAAATGTTTATTAAAATAATAATGTGAGGATTTTTAGGTATTGCATGCTCTTGCACCACGTGCATTATGTAGACAAGCATTTCCCCATCATTACTTTAACCCAATGACCCAGAAATACCACCTGACATTTCTATAAATAATTTTATTGTTTAACATAATAAAATTGGTACTAAAACGTACTATGTCCTACTGCATATAAAACTACAAGTGATTTTTTTAGCTGTTGTAACCTCCCCGTGTTGGAATTGGAATGCCGAAGATGTGCCTCGCTTTAAAAGTCGTCAGTTACTTTCAATTTATAATACCTTTTTTATTTCTTATCTTGGGACAAATAAATATAAGATGTTAAGCACCACCGAGGCGGCGGTAAACAAAACGAATTATGGAATTGGCGTGTACCAGGGTGTAATAGTTATAGTCGATCAGTCTCCAACACAAAACGGGTTCTCTGTGTGTTCTCTTCCCTATCTTATCTAGCGTCTGCATCCTCGGCCAATATCTACAGCTGTTCGCTTGGCACACTCACTAGCTTCGGGCTACAATTGGTAAGGTTTCTTAGGTGTCTTACGAGTACGTACGTTTAACTAAATATAGGCCTTAACTAAAAGTGATAACAGTAGTGTGTGGCTGGCACCTCCGCCCGCCTAGTTGGGCAGCAGCTCTGCCAATTGGTTCCGCAGGCTGGGCGGCAGTGTGTCGGGGAACTTGATGTCGAAGGATACAATCAGATCGCCTCGCCTCGAGGGTTCCTTAGGCACGGGCAGACCACGTCCACTAATTCTCCGCGTGGTCGTGGGCTTGATGATCTCGTTGGCGGTGTTGACCTGAATTCTATCGCCTTGCAGCGTAGGCACACTCACTGGTGCTCCACATAGAGCCTGCTTCAGACTGACCTGGGCTGTGTACTTCAGATCGATGCCCTCACGTTTGAACTGCGAATGTGGCTTGTCGCGTATGATGAAGATGATGTCCGCCGGTATCTTGTTGGGCGCCGCGTCTCCCTCCTTGGGGAAGGTGATTTTGGTCCCAGCTTTCCAGCCCGGCTTCACGGTGATGCTCAGCACCTTCTCCTCTTTGTACGGCCCAGCGTTGCCCGTGGCCATGCGTGAGATCTTCATCTTCTTGGTACAGCCCTTATCCACTTCCTCCAGGGTCACATACAGATCATGCTCAATGGGCGGATCCTGTTGCTGCTGACGCTTGCGACTGGGCGCCTGGGCATTGAAGGACTGCGACCGGAAGGCACCGGCCATGGGATTAGCAGCGAACCCGCCGCCTCCGAACATATCCTCGCCGCCGATGTTCATGAAGATCTCGTTGGTATTTCCTCCTTGGCCACCGCCGAACATGTTGTCGCCGCCGCCGAAGAAGACGCCAAACGGATCCGACGAGCCGAAGAACTGGGCAAAGGTGGCCCGTGGATCTCCATGGAACTGGTAGCTGTAGGCACCTGGCTGGCCCTGGCCATCCGGCCCGGGCTGTCCGCCCTTCAGGCCATCCTCTCCATACTTGTCGAAGATGTCGCGCTTCTTCTTGTCCGAAAGAACCTCGTAGGCCTCGGCAATTTCTTTGAAGCGCTCCTCCGCCTGGGGACTCTTGTTCTTGTCGGGATGGTATTTCAGGGCCAGTTTACGATAGGCCTTCTTGATCTCATCGTCTGAGGCCTTGCGGTCGATGCCCAGAATCTTGTAAAAGTCCTTGGCCATTTTCACAGCTGAAATTGTAGGGGGAAACGCTTTAGATTAGAATGAAAACTGATTGCCTGCTGGGCGGGCGTGTGGTGTGTGGTGGAAATTGCTAGAAGCACCAGTTGTGCAACTGCCGTGTTGTCATGCGAGTGACGTAGTCGCAGTCCGCGAATGCCGAGCGGTTCTGATGCCCGTGTGTCAGAGGCTGATCAGATCGATGCTCCCTGCCCACACAAAGCCCACATGTGTAAGTCCCCGACAATATGCTAATGCTAACTCACCTTAAATATCACTAAAAATCCGTATGTATATCAATTCCAATGTGCAGATGCAATGGTTGCTGTAATTTGCTGGTTTTCTATAGTCCAATTTATATATAGTTTTCACGGGGCGATGCTCTTGAAATATTTATGACGTTGCTTTCGCAATTGATTCAATTGTTCTTTTCGTTTTCTTTCTCCACTGAATGTGGCTTGCGCACTAAAACACACCCTACTTTCTTTCACGTTCTCTTTTCTCTACGAAATTTTGTTTGATAATGAGCGCTTGTCGCCCGAACGCGCCGTTTTATAGACTTTTTTCGTCTGCGTCGAAATTTCTCGATGTTTCTCGTCTTTTAGGGTTGCATCTCGAAAGTGTGCGAATGCCGATTGGCGATAGGTCGAGAGAGTTAGAGATGCTGTCCTAGGTCTGGCGGGTTATAGCTAGATTTAGCTAGCTGAAGTGAGTGATAGCTAGTTCTAGCGGAAAAATAAGGGCTATATTTTTAGATGACTGGGCTACCCCTAAAACTAGGTAAATGTACCCCGTTTTGATTAAAACGAACTCTTGAAGGTATATTTTTTAAGTTTTGCTTTAATGAATGTTTAAATTCCATATGTGCATATGCTATGCATATGTTATGGCAACTCTAAGAATTAAAAGTATAAATGAGTTTATAATTTTTCAAATTGTTTGTTTTTTAAAATGTGAGTTCCACTGAAATAAAAAAAATGTGTGTGCCAGTCTAAAACAGCAATATGTTTTTGATTAATACCAATTTATTAAATGCACAAATTATATTATGTTAAAACTTTAGTAACTGCGTAATTTATACTATCTTATAATTAAGAAAGAATTGTAAAAATTACTACAGCTTTAATATTTGTGGGTAATTATTAATTAACTTCATTATATTTATAAATACCAAAAAAAAGGTTAAGAAATAACGTATTTAAGAGCTGCCAGTGTGACCGTACGACACAAGTCCCAAAATCCATCCCTGTAGTTCAATGTGGTTGGCGTTTTGCTTTCAGCGAGCGACAGTCCACGAGAAACTCTGCAAAACAGCCGCAGCGGAACAACAAAAAACATTTGTAAAAATGTCCCGTCGAGCCTCGTTTTAAGCGGATTTAAAGTGCACCGAGAGGAAGCCAGGCGCAGGAGCATAGCCGCAGTACAGGATTAGGATCGGAGAAGAAGGATCACCGGGAAAACATTCGCATTTCCACCCGCAACCCACACCCACGCACACAAACAACAGTATACCGCAGTATTTTCACACACACACACACAGGTGAGTGAGATGGAGGTACACACACACACACAGTCGCACTGAGAGAGAAGAAAACAAGGCGCCCCTCGAATATTTTTGCGACATATGGACGCGCCTCGCTAAGGACTAATTTGCCAGCCCGAAGGACAACCATTGGGGGCCACTTTTTGGGGCAAACCCGGGCCAACAACACGACACGGCCCATATGCGTGTCACGTCCCAAAGTTTGAGCCTTGACCGATCGCCCCGCCCCGCCCACGGACCACCGCCCCCCGAGGTGTTGCGCAAACGAAGTAGGCAGCCTGTGACCCTTAACCCCTAACCCCTTTGCCAAATATCCCTTGGCATGGCGCCTACTTAAAGGATGTCTCATTGCAGCAATTGCAACGACGACGGCCCCGCAAAAATAGTCATTCATTCCCGCAAATAGAGAGCTGGCCAATCGAAAAGAGAGCCCCCACAGACATTAATAGCACTTTCGCTATAAACCCAAACACATCGCCTATATTCATTGAGTAATCCGCCTGGGTTCTCGGGCCTTCAAGTTCCCCCAGGGAACTACCCACCCACTGCTTTGTCCGGCGATAATCGTTATCAGCTGCAATTCGTCATTTCAAATAGTAATTAGCATTTAGCTAGATTGTTATCAGAGTACGGATTTTATGCCAATCAATTGTCGTGTCTCTATTACACCTTAACAAAGTAACTGATAAACAAATTCGTTGGATAAAAATGTTAGAGCACCGATACAAAGGTTATTTATCAAATCTTAAGAGGTATTTCTTAAGGCACCCCAAAATTATAGGAACTCTATAAAAAATAAGTAAAGTTACAAGTCAAAATAACTCTAAAAATTTTCGCTTTTTAAATCAAAAGCTTACAAAAAAAAATCATATCGCTTTTGTAATTATTTTGGTGCTTCCCCCAAATACCCGAGAACGTAGCGCACTCAGCTGGGCGACCGTTCGCGAAAGATCGGGCGCCCCATCGGGCGGGATATCTTCGGAATCGAAATAAGAATCGGTATCTCAATCGGCCAGTACACGCGTGAACTATGTCGTGCGTTGACGGCGCGGTTTTCTAATTCGGAAAGATTTCGGCACACTCATATCAGACGGTAAAACAGACTGAAATTGTTGCATATATAGCACGGATATATACACACTTATTCACACAACATTGGAAGCTCCAACTGAAGTTGTACGGGCTCTAAGAATAGAAACCATTTCGTAATGGAGATTTTGTACTCGAAAATGCATTATATGACCAGGAATCCTGCGATTTCCGGCAGCCAGCAGTCATGTCTCAGTCATCTCTTGGTTTTCGTAGACCACATAGATTTCGCAGTACCGAAATATTTCAAAAATAGCACAAATATATGCGAGAATGAGGTTGCTGCCCCTTCCGTCCCCTTGGATGGTCTATATGGCATAGATAACTCGCGATATCGGTTTCTGTAATACCCAACCAACACAAACATTGGCCGAAAGATCATCGTCATCATGTAAATATTGAGTGGGGGGCCAATGTGTTGAAAGTGCCACACCATTGTGATGGATAGACATATATTCGACGGAACTGTGTGCTTCTCTGAATCTCTGAAAACCTTCGCATTTACAAATAGCCAGATATACGCGTATTCAAAACTCTCCCAAAGCTGCCTAATATCTTGCTCCTCTCGCCTTTTTTCTCGAGTTTGGTGTGCTTTTTCCGACCGCTCCGATGTGTCGTTGTCGCCGCCTGTTTTTATTTTTAGCAGCACGGGTTTCTTATTTTGATTTCTGCTGGCCGACGTGTATTAGCATTTTTGAATCCCCATCTCGCTCGCTCCCTTGCCGGGCACTATGGGTTGTGTTTGGACCATCCAACATGTGTTTGAACGGCAACTGCAGCGCATTCACATCGCATCGTGGATGTGCATCCTCCATTCGGAGGAGACCCAAAATATCTTGGCTGGCTGTCGGTTTTGTGGTTATTTCGGGGCAGCAAATTGGAAAAACATTGCGAATACCCCAGCCGCAATTGCTTGCGACATTCAATTAAATGCTGAGCAATTCAAGTCTCTAAAAATTAATGCCAAATTATACATTCAAAGAAATTAATTTTAGAATAAATTGACAGGCATTTCAGATGATTATAAATATCTTTGATTTACAAAAATCTATTAATGAAATGCAAAGCAATTAAATCATCGCCAAGCTGAAATAACCCTACGTTTTTATATAAATAGGACTAGAAAACGATTTGAATTCGAATTACGTTAAATGATTAAGTATTACAAGGTAATATTTCTAAGTATGAAATACACATACCAGTCATTTACTGGAAATCGGTAGAATTTTAATCAAAATTAATTATCTTCAAATTGAGCATCTGCTTTCCTTAAATCTGTCAAGTTTCTAGAACAGTTCTAAGTTTTTCTCTTATTCCCAAAGAAGTATTATACATGGATATGTAGCCCGCCCACTTGCCATTTGCGCACTGCCGGATTGGAGGCGCCAGATATTCGGCCGTATAATCGCCACCACTTCCGTTACAAAGTCAAGCAGGGACTCACAAAGAATCCCAGCCAACATGGAGCGACATTTGTACTGCAATTTATGCATTCAGAACGCCCGTTGATGACGTTGGTCCCCAAATGAAGGCGAATAATAATTCCGTAGCATCCTCCGGAGCCAACTGATGGTCGGTTGTTTACGAAATTCCGCTGCGCGTTAGTCACGACGTCGATTTCGGGGGGCAGTCGATGCTCGATTGGGTGTACGTGCTATATGTATATATATAGACGGCAACTGGCGCTGGCCCGTACAAATAAGGCGCGAAAACCGTACCCGGAGCACGTCAATGTCGGAGGCTAGGGAGACGGGACGGATTCTTCTTGGTTTCTGCCGCTTTATTCGCGAATGAGGTCGAAAACAAGAAGATTTCGCATTAATTTGGGGCCGGCCAACTCTTCCTTATTTACTACGGGCCTTAGCGGGCCAAAAGTAGCTTCGTCATGACCAGAAACTTGGCCACGCTGGACATGTCAAAGGTGTCATGACACCACCATTGATTTACTATTATAGAATAGGACAACAACACAAACAAAATTTATGAGTAAGACTCAACGTTTCACTTTCACTTCATCCGTAGGATTTTCCACACCATCAACAGAACACTCCGCAGCCAGGATATGACGGATAAGGAGAGCGAGCAGTGCACCGTCTCGGTCTTTGACCAGACGCCCGGCTCGGAGCAGAAGAAGATCAACGTGGTGGTCCGCTCCCACTTCACGGTGAAGCGTGTGATCGACCTAATCGGCACTCAGTTTCCCTATGGGAAATTCGAGCTTCTGTTGCAACCACACGAAAACAAGGATCTGGTAAGGATTAACATCTATTTTGCAGTTCTTATGGAACACTAACGGAAACTCCTCTTCTTTAGGTCAATTTGAATGCCGTGGAATCCCAGCTGTTTTTCGATGTGACTGGTTTTGAGCGTCAGCTGAAGAACCACCTGATCCTGCTGCCCGCCGGCAGTTGGGATGGCGACGTGACAAAACGCTTTGAGTTGCCAATCAAAAAAGTGATTGTCAAAAAGGTTATAAAGTCAGACGGAGAAAAGTCCAAAAGCCCAGCCACCGGCGAAAAGAAGAAACGGGTGGTTGGGGAGAAAACCAAGAAGAAACCGGCTTCTGGATCCTCCTCTCCAAGCAAGACAAAAACAACAAGTGAGGATTCCTCGGCTAAGATAAACGTCAGTTCGGATTCGACTCCAGAAAAGAGTTCCAAGATCCCCACTACTGAAGAAAATAGTCCCAAGCCCGTTTCAGACGAAGCTCCTAAGGCTAGCCCGGAAGAAAGTTCCGAGATGTCTACGGAGACAAGCTCCAAAGTCATTACCCCGGAGAGTCCCGTCGCCAAGAAAACGGCAAAAGTCAGTTCAAAACCCAACCTAGAGTTATTGAGTCCACTTCAGCCGTCATCACCCATTAAAGAGCTGGATTGCGAACCGATTGACATGCTGAGCAAGCAACAACTCTCTGAGCAACTGCAACTGTATCCACAAGGTAGAAACCTCTCCCCGGTGGACGATGGTCCTTCTGACTTGTTCATCTCGGATGCCGAGCAATTGTCAGATGACGACCTCGCGTTGGGCGCATCTGCCAGCCCAACTATGATGGGTCCGGGCTATGATTTCGGAGCTCCGACTGGGGACTCGGACATCGAGGGTGTGACCGGAGTGGTGGGTCCATCTACAATTCAACCGGACGATGGTTCTTATCCGGCTCTGTCGAACTTCTATCGCCGTAAGTACGGCGGAGACGAGTTGCCAGCATGGCAGAGAGTCAACACGACGTCTTCCGACTTTGTGCCCTCGGCCACCACGGAAACCGAGCCAGAGGCACGAAAGACAAACGGTGGACCCAGAGGACACGTTGGTTTGGTGAATCAAGCCATGACCTGCTACCTAAACAGCTTGCTGCAGGCACTGTTTATGACGCCCGAGTTCAGGAATGCTCTGTATCGCTGGGAGTTCGACAACGACAACGAGGCAAAAAACATACCTTACCAACTGCAGAAACTGTTCCTCAACTTGCAGACGTCGCCCAAGGCGGCGGTAGAAACTACAGACCTAACCCGCAGCTTTGGTTGGGACTCTACTGAGGCCTGGCAGCAGCATGACATCCAGGAACTGTGCCGAGTAATGTTCGACGCCCTGGAGCACAAGTTCAAGAACACCAAGCAGGCAAATCTCATCTCCAACTTGTACGAGGGCAAGATGAACGATTACGTAAAGTGTCTGGAGTGCAACACGGAGAAGACTCGCGAGGATACCTTCCTCGACATCCCGCTACCGGTGCGTCCCTTTGGAAGCAGCTCCGCCTACGGCAGCATCGAGGAGGCTCTCCGCGCCTTCGTCCAACCAGAGACGCTCGATGGAAACAACCAGTATCTGTGCGAGAAGTGCAAAAAGAAATGCGACGCCCACAAGGGGCTGCATTTTAAGTCCTTCCCCTACATCCTCACGCTGCACCTGAAGCGCTTTGACTTCGACTACCAGACTATGCACCGCATCAAGTTAAACGACAGGTGAGTCATCATGGTCTCTAGAATATTAAATGTTTTGCTTATAGTCGAAATCATTTAACAACATCTCGTCTTTCTATGCCTTAGGGTGACTTTTCCTCAGACGCTCAATCTGAACACATTCATCAATCGGAGCGGCAATAGCGGCGAGCCAACCCCACAGCTAAACGGCACTGTGGACGATTGCAGCACAGCGGACAGTGGTTCGGCCATGGAGGACGACAACCTGAGTAGCGGCGTTGTGACCACTGCGAGCTCCAGTCAACACGAGAACGACTTGAACGACGAGGATGAGGGCATCGACATGAGCAGCAGCACGAGCAAGAGCGCCAAGCAGGGAGCTGGACCCTATTTGTACGAACTGTTTGCCATCATGATCCATTCGGGCAGCGCTTCTGGTGGCCACTACTACGCATATATTAAGGACTTCGACAACAACGAGTGGTTCTGCTTCAACGATCAGAATGTGTCAAGCGTAGGTGTTTTAGCTCTCATTCATGATTTTCGAAAATTCACGACCCTTTATCCGCAGATCACCCAAGAGGATATCCAGCGTTCGTTTGGCGGACCCAATGGCAGTTACTACTCCAGTGCCTACACCTCCAGCACCAACGCGTACATGTTGATGTATCGGCAGGTGGACGCCAAGCGGAACGAGCAACTCGCCAAAGTGGCCGATTTTCCGGAGCACATAAAAACACTGCTGCCGAAGCTGCACTCGGAGGATGAGACTCGCGTGACTCGCCTTGGCAGGCACATCACGGTTACGGACTTGGCTCTGCCGGATTTGTACAAGCCACGCGTCTACTTCTACAATCCCTCCTTGAAGAAGATGAAGATTACCCGGGTGTACGTGTCGCAGAGTTTCGACATCAACCTCGTGCTAATGTCGGCATACGAAATGCTAAATGTGGAGCAGTTTGCGCCGCTTTCGCGTTGTCGTTTAGTGGCTTACAACTCCACGATGGAGACGATTATCCAGTCCTTGGAGAACTGCACAGATCCAGCCCTGACCGAGTTGCGCGCTTCGATGAACTACAGTCTGGACTTCCTTTTAGAGTACCGGGCTGAGGGCCAGCAGTTTGAGACATACCCCCCGGACGGCATGACATGGTATGTGTTTAAGGTAGATCTATCGACCATGGCGATGGACGGTCCCTTCCTGGTTTACTCAGCAGCGCGGGAGCGGGAAGCCAGCGAAGGCCTTCGCCGCTCCATCGCCCTCCGTTTGCGTGTTAACGAGCAGCAGTTCCTACTTGCCACGGTGCGCGGCACGGTGCCGAAAGCTTTCGTGGCCTACGATCCCCATCCGTCGCCCGAGGCGCTGCAGCATCTCCAGAACCTGGCCAACACCCAGTTCAAATCCATCACATACTTCTACTTGAACGTCCCCAATACGGATGCCGCCAGCCTTGAGATGTTGGGCGTGCCCAGCGTAGAGTCAGTCGAGGTAGGTTTTAAGGGTTTACTAAGTTGTTAGCTGATTTTAATTTTCTGCATTTTTTGCAGTCGGCCAGCGGTGATGTGGTGGATGCCGCCATGATGAATGGTGCAGCACAAGGTCACGAGTCCTCCAGCAATGAATGTGATTGGAGGCGCTACAAACGGGATGTGCTGGAGCCACTGGTCCAACCCAGTCCCAGTCACGGCCATGAGTCCAACTCGGAGGACAGTAGTCTGAGTGATGGAGACCGCACTCTGGTGGAGACGGAGAACCTGGCACATCGCGGGGGTGGCGACAGTCAAGTCAGTTCCACCAGTCATTCGCCGCAGCTGTCTAGCCCCGAGGACGAAGCAGCCTCACACGATGCCATGATGCGGGTTCATGCCTACTGCAATGGAAACGGCAGCTATGCGGCGGCCGATGTGGTGGATCCCCTGCTCCTGCCCAGCAGCACCAATCACTTCTTCTATGCCACAAAGGTCGAGTGCGTGGATGTCGTAGGCACCAGTTCCAGTTCAAGCCATCAATCCGACGAGGAGGCTCAGCTGCGAAGACCCACGCGTGCCTACAAACTGCTGGTGGGCGCGCACATGCGCATGGGTGCATTCAAACGCCACATTGAGCAATTGATCCAAGTGCCCAGCGCCTACTTCAAGCTGCAGAGCAAGCACGAAAACAACTCCAGCAACCAGAACAACTCGTTAATTCTTTTCACCGAGGGCGAAACACTGACGGTGGAACTGGGCAAGAATCTGGAGCCTGACGAGTTTAAGGCCAAGATTTACTTTTTGCGACTTGCGGACATTGACAACGAAACGTCCAAGCTACCCTGCGTCTGCGAGTGGGTCTACAACGCCAACACTACAGCGGAGCAGGCCAAACAAGATCTCGTGGCCAAGCTGCACCGCATGGACGCCAAGTATGCCACGCTCACCGTGGAGAACTGCCGCATCTGGTTGAAGGGAGGACGTATTCCCATCAAGATCCTGGCCAACGATGAAACGCTCTACTGCGACATGCGCTCCTCCATAGCGGCTGAAGTGGGTTTATTCGGAAAATTGACTAAAAACGAGAACTTAATTTGGTGTGTCCTTTGTACCTTTGCAGTTTATTGTGCAGGAGTGCGATGAAGGGGTGAATCCGCAACCCAAGGACGATTCTCTGACTATATTTGTTAGGCGCTGGTGTCCAGCTAAACTGGAATTTGGAAAGTTCCAAGAAATCACTTTGGACCGTAAGTTGAACAATAACTGGGAATTCAAAGATAATTTTCAATTCTGTAAGCGAACTAAAATCATGTCTTTGCAGAGGACAGCGAAATCAGACGTTCATTATCACAGATCTGCAACATCACAATAGACAAACTGAGCTATATGAAGGTACGTTAAACCATTTTTAGTCCATCTCGATCCAAACCAATATCGTTTTCCCGGCAGATTAACAGCAACTTCCCCTGTACAAGCATATCAGCTTTAAGCGTCAACGAGTCCAGCAGTTGGTACTCGGTGCCGGCCAGTCTGGACAAATATCCACTGAACTCCACACAGACGGGCAACATCTACCTATACAAGTAAGTTTGAAATTTGGATATGTAAGGCCTGTATTAACCATTGTCCACAACAGAGATAGGACCGTACCTGCGCGTGAGCTGTCGCTGGATGAGCGGCGCCAGATGAACGCCAGGGAGAAGGCTCGCCTGGATCGGGTGGGCTGCGTCTCCACCACCCGATACTCGCAGCGTCGGGAACGCGCTTTGAAGATCTACCTGGACTCGCCGGAGAAGTCGAGCAATGTGACCGCATCGGCACCGATGGACGTGCATGTGAATAATTAGTCTGGCCGCGAGTTAAAAAGAAGAGTCGCGACCCAAAAAAAAAAGTACACCAAACCATGTATGTAAGCGACGGCAGACCATTAAATCCCAGATCCTGTTTTAATCAACGGCCAAGTATCTTTATCGGCTGCAACTGCTGGTCGTGTTTTCTGTACTTTACCCGCAGCAATTGCGTATTTTGTTGTTGTTTATTTTGTTTGACGCAAGGGGAAAAGGTCGTCGGGCTGGGCCAGAGTGTATAGCATCCGACTGGACTGGACTGGATTGGAATGGATCTGGGATCGACGGCTGGGGTGGCAGGCACAGCACTAAGCGACGTTTACCATAACGAAGTTATTCTTGCAACTTTCGTAATACAAGAGTTCAAAGATGAGACTGTAAAATTAAAACTAAACATGCAAGAAATCTAAATTACAAATTGTATAATGTGAATGTGAACATCAAAACTAAATTAAAACTATAAAATAAACACAACTCTCAAGTGCATTTATTACAATCAAAAGCGTCTCGAATTCGATTGGCCCCTGTGGGGCGGACAGGAAGTTGATAAATGAAAAGTCGCATAGCATTTATCGGCTGTTTTATAGAAAATGTTAATTTTATTTAATACCTACTACGCAGCGTTAATAACGTTTTTCTTGAATTAAATTTTAAGATCATTTAGCGTTAAAATTTTTACAATTTGACGACAGTTCTTGCTTTGCTTTTTCGTTGCGTTGGTGTTGAACAAACCGATAAACGAAGGCAGCTTATAGTAAAGGAAATAAAGAGGTAAAGTTCACGCTGGGCCGACCGCCCTGCTGATGGATGGAGGATTCTCGGGGAAATGGATTTGCGTTCTTAATTCGCTGCTGGTGTGAACAGGAATCCTCAAATTGTAGCCGTGTTCTGTTCTGTTGTCAAAAGGGCTTTAATACGCAACGAATTCGATAGTAAAAATCTGTGGAGCGGCAGCGGTAGGCAGCGCAATTGTTCACATTGTGGTTTCCGTTGTTGGGTTGGTGGTGCAGATCTTCATCAGCAGGATGGTCTATGCCTTGGTCTCGACGGCCGGCGCCGTTTCCACCTTTGTCGCCGCCCCAGCTGACGCCTTCTTGCCCTTACCCTTGCCCTTCACGGGACCCAAAGGCTGCGTGAGAAGCGTCTAGAAAGGAAAGATTTCACTTAGTAACGAGCGTGACATCATTCGGTAATGTTACACACCTTCAGCTCCTCCTGCGCAATGCTGTACTCGCTCACGTAGCTCTCCGCCTCGAATGGGATGCCGGTAACCAAGTTGACGCCGTTGGGCATAAGCAGAACCGTGTGCTTAAACTGCGCCACAACCTCGGCTGTAATTCAAGGAAATAGTTGGTTTATTTATTTATTTTTATGATGTCAGTGATGTTTACAAAACTTAAACTGACAAAGGTACTTATATTACTAGCTGTCAGGGTCATCGACTACACAAATATGAGGGAAAATTAAATATGGCATTCAGATTTACGTATAATCTTTAACGTAACCGACGTAACGACGATGATAGGGACAACAAGTGATTATGAAAAAAGGTTGATAATTGAATGGATTTGTAGCAGTGGCATGTTCAGACAGAGGCCACACTGGGGCAACTGCTGAAGACGTCAAAGCTTGGGGTTTGTTCTAGCAAAATGTCTGGCCGTTCTCAGCACCCGAAGGTGTACCAAATCCGGAATTAAGTTTTGCCAATGGAGTATTACAAATAGTACTATGTATCACACTTACATGGCTTCTCGTACAGCACTTGGAAGGGCTCAATCATCTTGTGCGAGACGCACTCAACGACACCCATGCGGGCCTTGGTCTCCTCCTCGAAGCTGCGGATGTTGAATGGCATGTTTCCGTACTTGGTTTTCACCTCTGCCAGCAGAGCACGGGAGGCCTTCAGCTTGAGCATGTAGTTCTCCTCAGACTTCTTGTAGATGGAGACCTTGGTGTCCTTCTCCCGTCCCTACAACGAATACAAATAGCTTAGCAATTGTGTTTCTAGCCCCAATGAACAAGGGTTCAGCTTCTTTTTAGCGTTCTCAGATCTCATAATCTTACAATCTCCGGACAACAGATAGCCAGACCTTGGTGTTTGCACGTGCCGGGTTTTAACAACATAAACCCGCCGAGCGTACAAGACGCTCTCGCAACAAACTCCGCACTCCAGCCAAGTCAGCCTCAAGCGCTTGTTTTTAATCATTGAACAAAGAGTTGAAAAGACAGGTATTTTTGATGGATTACTAACCACTCCTTCGCCGCTGCTGACAATGACATCGATGGCATAGACCTCGTACGTTTCGAAGGTGCACTTCTCATGCTCCTTTCGCTGCGCCTCGCTAGGATTCTGTATGATTGTCTTTTCGCCATCAATTTTAAACTGCTTCAGCTCGTGACTGAGCATGCCCTCGATGGGCTTGCACTTGTACGACTCGCTGATTTGTTGCACGGCATCGGTGAGGGAGTAGTTCTGTAAAGTGTATTGAAAATATATCAATTAGTATTGGTGTTTAATCGTTATATTATTTTAGCTATAAGTTATTAATAGAATTTTAAAGAGGCCTACGTGGACTGCAGCTAGCAGAGATAAGGAAAACCATTCCTTGAATTGGAAAATCTTAATCACCTATCATAGCATTAGATAGATAACGCAAAAATAATAAATAACTATCGGAATTCGAAATGCGATTGTGGACAACTTTAAAGACCGAACATTTCTAAAATGTAAACTTGTTCAGTTCACGAAATCGACACAGTTTTTCTCTGCAGGCGTTGAGCTGTACTGTGCCATGAGTTGAGCAACAGCCAATCCGTTGCCTGCAAATTACAATTCTAGCAGATTATATTTTACAGATGTGGACAACTTTAAAGACCGAACACGTCTCTGGTATAACTTATTCAGTTCACGAAATTGACACGTTTATTATCCGCAGGCGTTGAGCTGAAGTGTGCTAGGGTATAAGCAGCACTCAATCCGTTGCCTGCATAAGAAGTAACCATGTGGACAACTGGCAAGGAGCCTACAGTCCTAAATATTAGACTAGGGCAATTACCAGCTGCCACAGCTGATCTCTGCAAGTGTTGAGATGTTCCGTCGCTGGAGAATGGCGTCAGACAATCCGTTTCTTGCAAGGATTACTTAGACATTAAGGCAAACTCACATTGGCGCCAGACTTGAGCAGGCGCAGGGCAGCCTGAACAGCCCAGTAGGCAGCGAGGATGACATCGGCCTGGCGACCACTGATCTTCTGATCCGGTCCAGCGCCCACTACGATTGTGTGAGCTGCCACGGCAATGAAACCATCAATGTGGGCGCCCAGGTCGCTGTAGAAAGGAAAATAAAAGAGATTAGAGACTAAACAAGCTTACTAAGAGGTATAACTCACATTTTGACAACATCGCCGGCCTTTAACGTGTAGTCGGGATCGTTTTTAGCTGGCGAGAAGTGGCAGACACAATTGTTAACGGACAGACAGGTGGGGAAGGCAATGCCCTTCTTCAGGTCCTTCTCCTTTTTGTATACCTTACGAAAAAAAGAGGGAAGATTGTATTAGTTTTGGTGTTCCTTAGGCAAAAAATGTTTGTTAGCGACTGGAGTGTCCTCAGATCTCATAATCTGTAAATCCTTGGGGCCCAATAGCGAGCACACAAGCCCTGCACGTGGGGTATGTAAATCCCCGCGTGTGCCTGGGGACCACGAGGTGGTCTCCAGCCCAAACAGCACATGGCCCACCATCGGGGGACCCTCAAAGGTGTAATTCTTAATCATTGGACAAAGGATCGGGAAATCAAGACCACCAGGTGGCCACTTACTTTGCCGGTCTCCTCGGTGAGCTGATTGTCGCCCTGGGTGCAGATCTCCCGCACGGAGGCATCCACCACGCAGAGTCCAATTACCGCCTTGAGGGTTTCTAAAATTAAACGAGCAGACAGAGTCCAGAAATAGGCGGATTTAGCAACGCGTGGCGTAAAAGGGAAAGCGGCATTTTGTCAATTGTGTAAGCGCCACGTAGCAGCGCCTCCTGGAGTCGGAATCGCTTTTCCCTGCGCCGATTTCGGGATCTGAATACTCACTGTTGACGATCTCGCCGGCCAACTTGTACTTGGTCACCACCAGATCCTCGGCGATGGTCTTCTCGGGCTCCTTTTCCACGTCCGCCATAGTGCACTCGACTCTAATAATTTTAAAATGGCGACTTTAATGAAAATGCGACCGACTATGAAACACGAGGTACGGATAGTGTTGCCACTGACCAGGCGATGCCGACAAATCGATAGTATCGAAAGTTCCAGTGGCGTGGCCAGTTTGCCCGCCCTTTTTATCAGTCACGAGCCCTGGCAACCCTAGAGCATAGGGCGGTAAACTTGAATTGACTATTGAATCCAAGATTACTATGTTAATTCTTTTAATAGGTATTTTAAATGTTTTCAAAAATAATTAATTAATAAAATCCTCCGTTTACACATTTTGAAAACTGTGTAGAAAGGTAAGAACTTTTAAAACAAGTAGATTAATTGAAAAACATAATTTAAACATATAGAAAGTATTTTTTTTTAGTATTTTCTCATAGCTTTATCTGCGGTCACGTTGCAATGTATCGATAATAACATATCGATGGTCAAACCACCTCTATATGCCAGTCATCTTTTAAAAAAAATTCGCATTTAAAGCCAATAATAACATTTGTCAGTGTCAGTGCACTGCGCCATCCCATCCTGCAGCAAAGAAATCTCCGAAAGAAAAAACATTTACTGTCGCCATGTCCGTGCGTGTGATCAATGACGAGGCCCATTTCCAAGCGGAACTGACCCAGGCGGGCGTCCGTCTTGTGGTTGTGGACTTCACGGCCAGCTGGTGCGGTCCTTGCCAGCGGATCGCGCCCATCTTCGAGATGTTCCCCAACAAGTACCCAAAGGCTATTTTCCTGAAGGTCGATGTGGACAAGTGCCAGGACACGGCCGCCGGCCAGGGCGTTTCGGCCATGCCCACATTCATCTTCTACAGAAACAGGACTAAGATCGACCGCATCCAGGGAGCGGACGTCAACGGACTGGAGGCCAAGATCCAGGAGCACATCGGCACCGGCGGCGGCGAAGAGGCGGGCGAGGACTACGGCCAGGGATTGGTAGGGTAGTCCACGATCTAAAGATTCGCAAACTAATCTCTCTTCCTCTTAACAGATGGAACTGAACACCTTTATTTCGAAGCAGGAGTGCGAGTGCCTCAACGAAGCCGATGACCACAATTTAAAGCACGCCCTGGCCTCCGCCGGTGGTTACCTGCAGTCCGACTGCGACGAGCAGCTGATCCTGTCCATCACCTTCAACCAGGCGGTCAAGATCCACTCGCTGAAGTTCAAGGCACCTTCTCAACTGGGACCCAAGGACGTCAAGCTGTTTATCAACCAGCCACGGACCATTGACTTTGACATGGCCGAGTCCATGACCAGTGTGCAGGATCTGAGGTGGCTATTATCTTACTCTCAACACATTTTCTGTACTCATGGTGCTAATTCACTTTGCAGCCTGGCCGAGAAGGAGCTGGAGAACGGAGTGCCTGTGAATCTGCGTTATGTCAAGTTCCAGAACGTGCAGAACATCCAGATCTTCGTGAAGAACAACCAGTCGGGTGGCGATGTGACGCAGATCGACTATATCGGCTTCATCGGCTCGCCCATCATGACCACCAAGATGAACGACTTCAAGCGAGTGGCCGGCAAGAAGGGCGAGAGCCACTAGGTTACCCACTTGGATTCCATTGAAAATTTCACGGTTTTCCCAATGACTTCCCGCAACTTCTCTTCAACTTTCGACTTACAACTAAGCAATGTACAACAAATGCATAAAGAAACATACAAAAAAGGTTCAACAATCGCTAGCAGGTAATTTAAATATCCACTTGTTTTAAAGGCTGCTCTGATGCGAGTCCAGTTCCTTGGTGAGCATTTGCCAGGCACGTTCCGCCTGTTTCTGGGTGAAATCGTGATCCCACTGCGAGCTGAAGATGACATGCGACTTGGCCACGATCTCCGTGTTGGGTACCTGACTGGCCAATCGCTTCTTGGCCTCCTCCTCGCTCAGGTTATTGCGTTCGATAATTCTCCGCACAGCCTCCTCCGGCGGCACAATCATGGACCACACCTCATGGCAATTGGTTTCCCAGCCCGCTCGCAGGAGTACAGCTGCCTCTAGGACTACCACACGGGGCACCTCGGCCTGGGAGCGCAGAGTATCCAACCGCCTATTCACCTCCGCAATGAGTTCCGGCCAGACAATCCCGTTGAGTGCCTGCAGCTCCTTGGGATCGGCAAACACCAGAGGTCCCAGCTTGGTGCGATCGATGCGACCGTCTGCGGCAACAATTCCCATTCCGAAATGCCGAACAATTCGCTCGTAGCACACCTGACCCGGCTCATATACATCGTGGGCTACCTTATCGCAGTCGATTACGTGAGCGCCCATGTTGCCCAATCTTTCAGCCATCTTGCTTTTGCCGGACGCGATTCCCCCAGTCAATCCAATGATGTGGGGACGCGCCGGGAGCTGTGGGCGGTGCTCGGGCCTCCGCCAGCGGGATCCTAGCAGATCAATACGCGTGTTACTCGAGCTGACCTTAGTCTCATGGATGCCATCATGCACGTTGCTCTCCACAATGTCTATCACAAAGATCTCCAGCTCCCGCAGCTGCTTGGCGTTGCGTATCTCGTTAACCTTCTGACCTCCTCGCAGTGTCTCCGCACTGACCACAATCATGTCCAAATCGGGATCCACTTGCGTGGGTCCGAAGGGATCATCGATGGGCACAATCTCGTATTGGAGCGTGCTATCTATGTCCATTAAAAACTCCCTTAGCCGGGCAATACGCTCTTCCACGGGCAGAATCAAGTCCGGCAGCGTCTTTCCTGCAGACAGCGATAGCAAAGGCCATTAAGATAAGAATCTTTTGTGCCGAATCATCCAGTGCTTACCCTTCGTCATGGCGGCGGTCGTTACGCCCACAACCAGACGTTTGCAGGTGCGCAGCACCGCCTGGGTGAGGAATATCTTGTGGCCCAGATGTATGCGATCGAAGGTTCCACCAAGGACAACCGAGGGATACATCTTCGGAGCCTGCGTAGCATCCTGCTGAGCACTCAAATCCGAGGTGGCCGAGTCCTCCAGGAAGATGGTGGGCTTGCTGATGTTGAGATCCGCCCGGAGACGGTCGCACAGCTCTGGATGATGTGCATCCGAAAAGATCAGATCTACTGGTTGGCGCAACTTTAAGGATCCACTGGCTCCTGGCCGGAGGGGCGAGACAAGGACCCGCAGGTCCAACTGATTGCCCACATAGCTGCTGCTGTTCGCGTAGAGCTGCGAGATTAAACGACCCCAAACCGGAGGCGGCGGAATTGGTGACGTCGTGGACGTTGACCCCGCCACATTTAAGTGTATGTACAGTGAGTTCACGTACTTCTCGATGGCGCGCAGGGATTTGCCCAGGTGCTTAATGTTGGACACCACCAGGAGACCTGTGGATGAGGCCATTCTGCTTGGGTAACTGGTCTTAATTAAGTTCTAGCTCAACAGTTGCATCAACATAACAAGAAAAGGGTTGCCAGGCGCATTCATAATTATCGATAGATAGCTACTGATAAGGTTTTAAAATACCGTTACAATAAAGGCCCCGTCCAGACTAGGGGGTTGCTGTTATCACTCGAAAGTCGTAAGACTTGGTTTTTTTTTACATAGATTTGAGGTCCTGTTTACACTACGGTGGTTTTTTGGAGTTATGGTGTTCACTAGGTTTTTTTACATGATTTTTGCCTAGGGAACTACAGGTGGGGGCAAGTAAAGTTCTTAATATTTCGTTGGTATTTTTATTATATATTATATATGTCTTTGGAAAGAGGAGCACTATAAATATTTTTTTATTATGTCGTCTCAAATATTAGAATCCTTTATTTTAACTTTGTTTTTAATTTAACTATTTTTGACGATAGGTGAGTGTACGCACTATGTGTGGTGGGTGACTCCGCTAGCCTATCGCATTTTCGTGAGAAAAAGTTAAAACGGTATATAAGGTATATTTCCGCGGTGACCGTGCTTGTCGATTAACCGCGAGTTGGCATCCCCAAACGAAGAATATGGTGCGAAAAGAGAATCCGCAGTCGGAAGAAACACGAGGGAAGGAATCGTCATTATTTTCGAAAGCAGACATTTCGTTTTAAAATTCGTTCGAAATTTATAGGCGATTTGCAAGCGAGTATTCCCCAATCGTAATGTTCAGTTGGCCAACAAATCGCAGCGCGAAAAAGCCAGAAAAAGACTGTTCCCGAGTGCGTTAGTGTGCGTGTGTCGGTGTCGCAGTCGGTGTGTGAAGCAAGAAGCAGAGAAAGAGAGTGTGTGGAGTGGAGTTAGGGAGTCCAGGGAGAGAGAGAGGGAGAGAGCAAAGAGCGTGTTGAAGGACGTGTGGGCAGAGCGGAGGAGGATCTGCAGGATCTGCGAGGATCGCCGATGACCATTAGCTAACTGGGTGGCCAACACCTCCACCCATCCCCTTCAAAATTCCACCGCAAGTCCCCAGCCGGAGCATCGCCATGCCCGTTTCGATGGCCGTGTGCGAAACGGCGAATGTGGTCAATGCCGCTCTGCGGGAATCCCTTGGCGGCAACTCCTCGGGCTCCTCCGCCGACCAGGCCAAAGCCGGCGAGGACTCATCCGGCAACCTGCAGAACCACTTGGTGGCCAATGCCAAGCGCATCCTGATGGCCAAAATCGAATACGAGGAGGTGCCCAACTACAACGAATCGGTGCTGGATAACCTCAAGTCCAAATATATTGTCATCAAGCCTGGCAATGCAGGCGCCATCAATGGTTTTGGTGGCAAAAACAACACTGGCAAAGTTGTGGGCGCAAATGGACATGGTGAGTAAAGCAGGGAAGAAAAATACATGCATCAAAAAGTTGCCTGCAAACGCAAAAGTGGCTTTTCTTCGTCTCCGCCTTCGTCTGTGTTTCTTCTTTGTGTGGCAATTTTGCGCAATTTTCCATGTGCTATCTCTATATGTATATGCTGGGCATATGTACATACATATCCTCCCGTTTGTTTTTGCCCGATCTTCTGGGAATATCCCTCCACAAATCACGTGTGTTGTTTTTCCGCTAAGATTTTTTTTACTGCTCTGCCTGCATTTTGCGGGCAGCGCAGTCGGCGTCGGCAGAGCAGCATACCTGTACTTTTTAGGCGCTCGTGTGTCTCTGTGTGCGTGTGTGACGGCGCTTGGGTGGTGTACGTGTCGTGTAAACAGAATGCAAAGGAATACGCGGAAAAGCAAAACAAGTACAACGCCGCAAAGAGTGAGCACAAAAGGCAGCAACAACAACGCCCCATCTTAAACTTCTGATTCACAGAAGTTGTGGCGGAAAAAAACGTGCTGCCTTTCCAGCGGCAAAAGGAAAAAAAAGAAAAGCACGAGGGCTCCCCTCTCTAGTTCCGTCTCTTTTCCACGTACACATGGCCAGCGCCAGCGGTACTTTTATTGGCTTTGTTTTTTTATTTTTAATGCGGTAAATGCGTCGCAATCTGCTTGTGTGCGATAAAAAGAGCGCAAACAAAGGCGAGAATGCAAAAGTGATTCACACGGAGTAGGAAGTGCAGACACAAAGCCAAGAAGCAGGAGATGCCTCAAGATGTTCTTTTTCTTTTTGGCCTGGTCAATGCCTTGAACACGGTTACAAAGACATAAAAGGGGAGAAGAGTGCTTACAACAACCACTGTTAGGTCGCGCCAAAAATTCAGTTGGCAACACTGTGCTGCCCCAACCCCTTGAGTCGGAGCGGGACAACTATGTCTGCACTGCGTCTGCTTCTTTACTTTTCGTCCCTTTCACTCGCTTGCTGTTATCAGCACTAATTTTCTTCTGCTAATCGTCGTCTCGCTCACACGCTCGCTGTTATCAAACGCACTGCAGTGTTGTGTAATATCTGAAATATGTGTACCTATATTCTGATGTTGTACCCACCTTTTATCTTGCAAATATTATGATTGATTAAGATACTTTATCTAGATAGGGGAAAAACTGCTACTGTAGTGCAATTTTATTTTAAAGACTCATATTAGAAATGAATAATACTGCATCATATTGAGCTTAATTGTAATTAATACAAATAAATTAGATTTGTTTCAAATTTAATTTGTTTTTCATAAAGCTATGGTGGGATGAACAAAAAAAACACAAATTTTGAAAAATTTATTTTTGTTAGAACCATGTTTTTTTTGGCGTTAGCTTTGCAGTTGCTCTCAATTTTTTCAAACTAAATGATAAGATATCATATTTGAAACAGCTTTGTACTTAGGTACAAAAAGCGACCGCCCTTTCCAACACTGAGCACAGGTGACGGTAGGAGTGTGTGCAATTGTGTGTCAGCAGTTTCCACAGCGAGCACAGCTCGTTTTATTTTTATTTTGGCAGCACGGTGCGCAGGCAGCAAGCAAGTGATAAATCTGACAAAGGCATTTGATCCACTAAATGCATTATGACTGTGATAATGGTGGACGGGTTCACCCTGTGGCTGCTTTTCAAACTGATCCTGTTGCCCTGCTGCCAGCTCCTGTGGCACGTGCTTAAACTGGCTACCATCCTCTTTCCCCTTGCAGACAATAATGGAGCTCGCAAGTCAACGGAGCACCCCAACAATCAGTCGCATCACAACAACCACAACAATCATCCGCATCCCACTAACAATCCCAATGAGCTGCCCAAACCGAAGAGGGTCCTATATCCACGGGAGAACATACGCATCGGCTGGAAGCAGTCGGAGCGCAAATGGCAGGTGGGCTCGGGCATGATCAACGTGGGCAACACCTGCTACCTCAACTCCACGCTCCAGGCGCTCCTGCACATCCCCGCGCTGGCCAATTGGCTCGTTTCGGAGCAGGCACATCTGGAGAACTGCAATGTGGCCGAATCTGGTGGCTGCATCGTCTGCGCCATGGCCAAGACCCTGCAGGCCACACAAAGCAATCAATCGGCCGTCAGGCCCTTCCTCATCTACTCGAAGCTGAAGCAGATCTGCAAGCACATGGTTGTCGGACGGCAGGAGGATGCTCATGAGTTTCTGCGCTTCCTCGTCGAGGCCATGGAGCGAGCATATCTGATGCGTTTCCGCAATTACAAAGAGCTGGACCAGCTGGTGAAGGAGACCACTCCGCTGGGGCAGATTTTCGGCGGATACTTGCGTAGCGAGGTCCGCTGTCTGAGTTGCAACCACGTGTCCATCACGTTCCAGCACTTTCAGGATCTGTTGCTCGACATCCGCAAGGCCGACTCTCTGGAGGATGCCTTCGAGGGACACTTCTCTCGTGAGCGGCTCGAGGATATGGGATACAAGTGCGAGGGCTGCAAGAAGAAGGTATGTGTTTCCTGGCCTCCATTCTCCACATCGTATTTACCAAGCACCATCTCTTTCAGGTATCTGCAACTAAGCAGTTCTCCTTGGAGCGGGCCCCCATTACGCTGTGCATCCAGCTTAAGCGCTTCTCCATGATAGGCAACAAATTGACCAAGCAGATATCCTTTAAGCCACGCATCGATCTGAGCAAATTCGCTGCCCGTTCACCAGCAGCCCAAGCTCAGCCACTCACCTACCGCCTGGTCTCGATGGTCACCCACCTGGGAGTCTCCCAGCACTGCGGTCACTATACGGCCATTGGCTCTACGGATTCGGGTAGCTATTATAACTTCGACGACAGCTACGTGCGGCCCATTGCAATGCATAGTGTCTGCAACACAAATGCCTATATTATGTTCTACGAACTGGACCTGTCACAGGCTGCCAGTCCGGCGGCTAACAGGCCTAATGGAGTGCGTCTGACCAACGGACACAGCCCGTTGGCAGTACCGGCGGCGACTGTGTCCTCGCCCTCGCCCTCGCCAACCCGTTTCATCGGTCCCCAGCTGCCGCCCGGCGGAATTAATGGCTACAGCAATGGCAATGCCCAGAAGACGGCTATCCAATTCAAGCAGCACCACCAGCAAAATCTGCAGAACGGTCTCCAGCTGGGGACCGGAAAGTTTCAGGAATCTGCGAAGCCTTCACTGGCTGGCACACTCGCTAAAGGCGATGCTACTCCAGCTCCCACTGCAAATGGTAACAAAAGTTCCTCCACCAGCAGCAACAGCAGCAACCACAAATCAATGAACCAGCAACAATATCTGCCAATCTCCTCGGAGGATGAAGACAGCGAAGAGGAGATGAAGCCCAGGCCAACGACAGCCCAGCTGCCGAGCATGCCCAAGATGACGGAGGATCACACGGAGAAGCCAAAGTCCCCGATGAAGGTCCAAGTAAAGACTCCCGTCAAAACGCCACTGAAAAGTCTAGTGCCCTACGAATCCGCCTCCGAGGAGGAGGAGACGCCACTGCCCAATCCCCGCAAGCGTCGAAGTGGATCCGACTCTAGCGAGTCGGAGCAGGAGTCTGGACAGACCAATGGTCACTGCAAGACCAACGGTCACACCAACGGCTCCGCCTCGTCATCGGTTCACGTTAACAACAGCAAACAAAAGACTGATGCCATAGACGAGATATTCAAGAGCCTGAAAAAGTCGGCCGAAAGTGAGGACGACGACGATGAGGAGGAGGAGCCAAACATCCAGCTAACGAATGGCTGGCACCCACAGAAGCAATCGCAGTCACAAAGCAGAGCACCGCCCTCGCCAAAGACGCCACCCTCGCCTGCAGTTATCAAATCGAAGACGGGTATCTGGAAAGTTACCCGAAACGATGACGTTCAAGCAAACGACGACGACGATGATGATGATGACGATGAGGAGGAGGAAGCGCCGGCAGCCAAAATCCAGACGCCCAGCAAGACGCATCGCAATCCGTTCGCCAGTAGCAAAGCCTCCGCAGACTCACCGACAACGCCAGGCGCCAAGCGCCAAAAGTTGCTCAACGGCAGCGCAGTCAAGTCGCACCAACAGCCAAGGGTCGGTAATGGATACCAGAGCGAGCCCACCTCCAATGGAAGCACCATTAACGAGCTGCTGAAGCAATCGCATCGTGGATACGGCTCTTCAGTGCTCAGTTGGAATGGCAAGCCCGCGGAGCTTGAGAAAGAGGTAAGTTCAGGGTGAAGTTTCAAACGTACTGCTTCCTCGGCTTTTTATCTATTGACACGTGTCTCTGTACTTAACTTTATATAGTGGAAATTTTTCATAAGGGGTTTGGTTCAAAAAGAACGTTGGGATTTCAATAAGATTAAAATTAATTTAAAATTAACATCTTATTCTTATCGCAACTGCTTTTGCGCCTTTAACTTAAATTTCGTTCTTTGTCTGGTTATTTGGTCTTCTTTACTTTCTATACTTTTGATATTTGTCGTTCGCTTAGTTGCTGCATGAAATGCAATTGGATTGTGTTGATTTACTAAACGAACTTGTTTGTAATTTGCATTTGTTTCCACATTATCCCCATTCATTTAGCCTTTTGAGTTGGTTTGTGCTAAACGGATAGCTGGTCACGGCAGTTTGGATGGCAGCGATATCGTCGAGAGCTCGGTAGCAGTCAACGCGGCCAGCGGCAGTGACAGTAACGACGTGGTCGTAATTGCAGTAGCGGTATCAGACGCAGGCGAGGCTCTTTCTTATCCCCCACAAAGCACACACAATACAAACAGTACGATTACCCCGAATAGTCTGTGATTGCGTTGACGGTGTCCGTTCCCCAACCGGACGGACTCCCCAATGCGGCCCCCGTTCGCTAAGCGTTAAGAGTGTATAGAGAGAGAGAGTTGCAAAAGTCATTGCGGAAGGGGATTGTGACTAACTGCACCAGAGCCTAGGTAATTCACCCGATGACTCCGCATCCGTGGCCCGTGCAATGAAGCTTATGATTTGACTGCTGGCCGGCACGTTCTTTCTTTCCCTTCCCCGCCTGATACGCCATAAATTCAACCGTGCCGTTACCGTTTTGCCTGATAACCTGTCAACCGTGAACCGTAAACCGTAAGCCACTCACCCATTTCGAATACAATATGCATCCCAGTGTTCTTTCGTGAGCGTACCTCATCTGCATAAGCTTCATTACCAAGCGCATGTCAGCCCACCCATTAACATGGTGCAAACTCCAATCTAATTGTTGAAAATTTTGTTTTCTGCAGCTACTGGTGGATGCGAGAGAGCAGCGGCAGCGGGACCTCGATGACGACGAAGAAAACGAGATGGATCGCGGTCGGCAGCGCAAGGTGAAATCTGGATCGGCCAAGGGAAACAATAGCAGCAATGCCAGCAACAGCACGCCCGGCTACAATCCATTCCAGGAGTACGAGGGCCAGAAGCGCTGGAACAAGAATGGCGGAGGAGGTGGCGGATTTCCGCGCTTCTACAACCAGAACTTTCGCCAGAACTATCAGCAGCGCCACAAGTTCAAGTTCAACCGCTTTGGCGGGCCAGGCAGCACCAAGTTCCAGCGCCAGGCCCTCCAGCGTCACATGGCCGCCGGAGGTGGCTTTAACCGGCGACAGCCATCGGCACAGCAGCAGCAGCAATCCTAACTGGATGCGGATTGGCGAGGATCAGAAGGAGGAGACGTCGAAGCGACTGCGGCGTGTGCATTTGTTATTGGATTTCAATTTCGCATGAGTTTTGTAAACGTTTTTTAACTGCTGATGAACATATTAGAAGTAGGAGTAGCCGTAGGACTGTAAGCTATAAGCTAGAGCGTAACTGTTGCCCCCAGAATCATCCCGAATCCTTACCCCATCACGGCCCCATTAGCATCTAAGCCTATCAATAAGTATGAGAAAAGAATGCGAGATTGTTTTTTGGCATTTTTATTGTGTTTGGCAGGATTACGTTTCAATACATTGGAGCGGTAGCCTTGCGTCTGCGAGGATTTAAGGTTACCGCTCTAAGGCCGTCACGCTCTAATGTTTCATTTTTAAAAAATGTTACTCCCGAAAAAGCAAACACCTAAAACGCCTAACAGCTGCGCATAATGGAAATAAAGCAACCCAATATTTTAAGACTAATTCTAGAAACCAAGCAAGTAAAGTTTGTACATAGATTTCGAGAATAGACCTAGACCCATGAAAAATCGAGTGTAATTTTAGCGGCGCCCCCCTTTTATTTATAGAGCATAACCGAACAGCGGCGAGCAGCGATATTGCCAATGTTAATAACCCAAAAAAATAAAGCATGTTGGATGTATATGTACTATGAATATGACCGAGAATTATGTGCGCAGGCGAGAGAAAATGTACCGGCGTATTAGCAAAATTATTGTACAAGCCAGGAATTAAACAGTTTATTTGATCAACTAGAGTAATAGTAAATAAACCGTAAAACAAACTATGCTAAAAGCTAAACTTAGTCGGCGTTGCGCTTCCGTCGCAGCTCCTTCTTGTTGACCATCCGGCCCTTTCGGTACTTGGTCTGGTTGGCCTTTCCATACTTGAGTTGCTTCCGCTGATGCTTTGGAACGCTCTTGATGGTGTTATTGCGGTCCCGCTTGGCCTTCTTCAGGTTGTTCTTCTTGTCGAGCCGTTCCTTTTGCTTGAACGCCTTGCTCTGGTGCATTTTCTTCAGTGTCTTGGTCTTCATCAGGCGGTCGAGGTCTTTTTTGCTCTTGATATCTGGCTGAGGTGTGGTGTTGGCCTTCTTGGTCTTGAGCTGCTCCTCCTCTTCCGTTTTGGATTTCCGCTTGCGGGCATTGGGATCGAAGTCCATGCCGGGTATTCTGTTGGTCTGAGCGGACTCGTCCTCGCTTTGGGCCTCCTGCTCCTCTGGCTCACTCTCCTCCGCCGTGTTGGCTCCCAACATGTTGCGCTTGGCTGCCAGATCATTGGTGGTTAGCTCCACGATCTTCACCTGCACTTCGTCATCTTCGTAGGTCTCTTCCTGCTGCTTCTCCTCCGCCTTGTCCTCCTCGGTGAGTTCGCGCAGGGGCTCGAAGGACTTCTTCAGGTGATTGAAGCCATCTTTTACCTCCTGGCGAATGCGTTTGCGCTCATTCTTGAGGTTCCTCTCCAGCTCCGCCTTGGCTCGTGATCGCCGTTCATTTTTCCTTTTCCGGAAGCCACTTAGAAACTCTCTGTGGGATTTGAATGAAAAATGTAATACCATTATGTGTTTCTAGGTTGCTTCTTACTTACACTCGCTTCTTGTTGTCGAAAACAACTTCGGTTTTCTTCTTGGGAGCCTTCTTCCTGGTCATTTTGTTTAATTTTCAATTTTTGTTTACCTTTTTTAAAAACGTGCGAGTGTCAGCGTTGCCAGATCGTGATTCCAACAAGGCAAGTACTGTCGTTCTGTCCTTTTAATAGCTATTTTTGGCTTTAACCACAACTTATAACAAAGCTAAAAATCAGCAAAGATTTGGAAATCAATTATTATATATCCACTTGAGATTGAGTACAACTTCAATCAGCTGTTTTTATTTTTAAACTTTTCAAATCGCTTTTCGTATGTATATCACATGATTATATGTTCAAGTTCAACAAGTTCTTCTAAAGAAGCATTAACATTACACAATTGTAAGACTAAATCTAGGGAACTTCGTACAACTCTACAGTCTACAACTAAACTAAATACAATTAACGATATATTCTGTTGCCATATGTATCTGGTATGTGTTTCGTAACTGATATTGTTTGTATCATAAATTCAATGAGTTTCCATTTTTCGTTGCCTCCGCACTCACTCGTCTTCGAATTCCAGGACGAAGAGCTTTTTGCGTCGGAACGAGGAAGTGTCGAGGACTTTGGCGGAAGACAAAGCGGAGCAGGGACTTTCAAAATCGTGCACCTGGACGAACCTGCCCATCGAATCCACACTGCAAATGGATAAGATTATAAGCTAGCCTTGGGTTTAGGCAATAAGGACACTTACTTGTTCTTCAGCAAATCCATTCGAGATTTGCCCTGGTTTGTGTTCAGTGGCGTGGAATTCATAACATGGGGGGTTCCCTGATTGGACAGGTCCAGTACGTCGTCGCCGGAAAGGAAATCGGAGGCGTAACAGTCGCGATTGGCAATGGGTGTGGATCCAACCAGCTGCATCTCCACCCGGGGCACTGGAGGCACTCCTTTGGACGAAGGCGAGGTGGGAATAATGTTGATCCTGGGCTGTGAGGGAGCTATGGACTTGGATAGATGCAGGACCTCCAGGAAGTATAGGAGATAACGAAAGGCGGCCGTTTTCCAATTGCACATTCTTCCCCAGACGGCGCGACGAGACCGCCTCAAACTTCGCGACTAAAAGTTATTTGCAGATTATAAATGATCTTAAAGGTGCGCCGACGATCCCTTACCAGCATACTGAGGTTCATTAGCGACTTGCGCTTCTGTTGCAGGTGCTGCAGCTTGGGATGTGAGAGTAGTTGATCCGCTGTGGGTCTCTGTGCAGGATCAGGCATCATCATGGACTTGATCACCGACTGCAGTTCCAGGGATATTTCTGTGGCGAGAAAGACACGGTTAACTGGTGGTCTAATTAGTAACCCATTGGAAACTCACTGTTAATGAACTCCTCGGGCAGTATGCCATGTCTAAGTTCGTGCCAAAGGGGCCCGTTCGAGGGAAGATCCATGTAGCAGGCCAGCTCCAGCATGGCGATGCCCAGGCTGAAGATGTCCGCCGCCTTGGAGAAGTGTCCCTGCAGGATCTCGGGGGCCATGTACCTGGAGTCTCCCTCCGTGGCATGGTGGTTATTGGCCCTGTCTACATCGATTACCAGGCCAAAGTCCGCCAGCTTGCACGTCTCGTCATCCTCCCCAATCAGCACGTTGTCCAACTTGATATCCAGATGGATGAGATTCCGGTCGTGAAGCGACTTCAGGCCCCTCAGCAGATCCAGCAGGATGTGCCAGATGCGCTCTTCGGGAATCCTTTGGCAGCGTAGCAAGTACTGTTCCAGGCTCTCGCGGCACAGCTCCATCTGCATGTACAGCCGGTCGTACTGCTCCCAGGCGCGGATGAACCGAATGCAGTTCTCGTGCCCGGAGAACTCCTCGTACCGTCGGACCTCCTCCAGTCTCTCGGCGCGGTACTGTTCACCGCGGAAAAGCTGCTTGGAGATCTTCACGGCGTACAGCCGTCCGTCGGTGCGATCACGCACCTGGAAGACCTCGCCGAAGGATCCTTCGCCCAGTTTGGCCAGCCGCTCGAAGCAGCTCTCGAAGTGTGACAGCGACAGGGTACTCAGCTCCGCTTGTACCGGGGATGATGGCAGAGTGCTGGCGTCCGGACATCCTGCATCCCGGAAGGAGATGGCGTGGGCGATCTGGGAACTGTTGGCGCTGCAGGAGCCCAGCGATTGGCTGCGGTTCAGGTTGTTGTTGTCCACGGCGACGTAGCCGCGCGCCTTGTACTTGGGCGGCCGGAAGCGATTGCTGTTCTCGCCATTGGACTGTTTGTGCCTGTGCTTGTCGTCGTGCAATTCCGGGAGCGGCAAGCGGTGGTGATGTTTTTCCATTTTCAATTCTTCCCCAAGCGCCGCGACGAGATCGTCTTGTTTGGTATGCTCTGTGTACGTGAGTATTGGCTATTATCGATTAATACTTAATTTAAGTCAATAGTTAAGTTAATGCAAGCACTTTTACCGGTGAAATTGAAATAAATGAATTTGTTTGCTTTCCACCAAACAGCTGGTCCACAGGGTGATTGGGGCGCTGTTGCAGAACTGGTACATAGGGTGATTGCGCCGCAAGTCTAGGGTTGTCAACGTCTTAAAATTGGAAACCGTTAATTTCAAATTTGATATTATTTCTAAAATACGGTCTTTCTAAAATGGTGGGTGGGTCACGCCGCAAAGCTAATAGTGACTCCTATTTAAAAAAAAACGTTTGGGTCATAATTTAATATTATATATGTAATTTTTTAGACAACGCGGCCTTTTTTGTTTTAGATAAATGGTTAGAGTCCTAACTATAGATAAAACGGTTAGAGTCATAGATTGGGAGTCTCCAAAATTGAAGAATCTAGGCGATGGATTGTGTCCCGGGTATCTTTAAAATATTTTTCCCGCGTTATAATTTGAAAAGCAGTTAATTCAAATTCAATAATAACAAAATCGTTTGTTTTTCAGCTGAAAATACTCAAAATACAATAAGGGTCAACCAAAAAGTCAGTCGTTTATAGTTTCTAGTTAGAAAGATTCTTAAGCAAGCAAGTGGCGCATAATTTAATTAATGTACATAAAAAAACATATCAATATGGATAAAAAATAATGCAGATATTTATTTATTATTTGGAGGCGTCACAGACTTCACTACCAGTAATTATAATGGGTTTCTTATGTAAATTAATAAAAAACTTGACGAGTTTCCTACTTTTGTCTCGACTTTATCTTTTTAACGTTTCACGAAATGGGAATTTTCAATAAATTAAATCATTAAATAATCGAGACAAGCGATCTCATTTACGATACAGTTTAAATCTTCCACTAATTCCCGCCCAAAAAGGTATTTTTTGGAATTTTGCACTGGATTTTTTGGTATTCATTTCTTGGGTAATTGGTATATTTTAACGGTCCAGCTGCGGCCGCACTGAGTTTATTAACAAAATAAAAAACAACAAATTTATTAGTAAAATGGTTAGCAGAAACATAGAAAGGTAAATATTACTCCGAGCGACGTTGATGCAGTGTGGATTACGCAACGAGCTGAACCTGGGTGCAGCCATATTCCAGATCTTAAAGTGCCCTTTTCTGGTTATGCAATTTACCAGGCGGCTTCTTTATTTATCTCCCCGCACAATGGCTTCTGGCCGTTTGGAGCTTAATCTCGACCTTAACCTTGGATTCCACGTCCAGATAACCACGATTGATTTATATATTGTCGCTCTCTTTTGGCAGCACAAGTAAGGTGCCCACTTTCCATGTCATCCGCGAGGTCTACGACAGTTCGAATGCCCACGAAAGATTCGAGGCGGAACTGGACAAGGCGCTGGAGGCCAAGGTGGACTTCATCATTATAGAGCCACCGCGCTTAGGCGACGAAACTGGTGAGCTCTTGGGAACACCTCCTTTATAAGATTATTTCTTGTTAATTCTAATTTGTAAAGCTTGTTTTTAAAAAAACTATGTATAACATCCTCGAAATTTTAACTAGCTCCGATCAAAAGGGTCTGACAATAGTATAAAGTAGTATACATAAAATTATTCAGTATTCAGATAAAAGAATTGAAGATCAAATCTGATTAACATTTTTTCAGATTTTCATATTTTTAGGGATTTGAATATATTAATATAAAATTGAATTGTATTTAAATTTACCAAATATGTTTGTGATTACAGGTCGATGGATTTGGGTGGGTAACTGCCTGCACAAGACAGCGGTTGCCACTGGAGTGGTTTCCCTGGTGGCCAGCCTGCTTTGGCGGGATCGCCCCATCATTGCAGCCCCGGCTTGCGCCCTCTCGCTCTTTTGCACCGGCCTCTACACGGTGTCCTGGAACTACGATCCTTGTTGTCAATATCAGGTCTGAAATTGTACACCTCCTACATTCTAGATAAACGAACTTATAATTTTCCAGGTGGAAAACAACGACACTGTATTGGAGAAACTCCCACTGACAGATGTATCCTCGCCTGTGATCTTGGGCTACTCGCCCAACTCCAAAACCAAATACTTGCACCGTGGCGTGTCCCTGCTCTCGGCCGCCCTGTGCTCCTGGCAGATTTGGAGGTCCTTCAAGTAAAGGCTGTGTAGGAACCCTTAAAATGGGCAGCTGCTGGATTGGGTCAACCCCGTGCGGAAACGTAATACCCGATAAGTTTAGTTTAGGCACATAAGCGAATGCATTTCTTTTAGATTTTCGAATGATTTTAACTCAATGTCTTGTCTTTCGTCAACTTTTAAAATGGTTCCAAGTCCCAAGCCAAGTCTTTGTCCAGTGTCCAATTAAGTGTTTTTGCGGCTGCCACCTGGACTGGCTAGCATGCTCATAACTTATTACGGTTCCCAGGCCTAAGTTAGTCTTAAGGGAGGAGCAGCCTCGGCACTGTAAATTAAGCAAAGCCAACTTCTGTGTATAAAGCGAATCCCATTTATGATTGTTATTAGAGTCTAGTTGAAGATATCAGAATGCGAAAGGCAAATAAACGCGATGCGAATGTTACTCCGGGCTTTAAACCGATTCCTAGGCTAAGAGAGTTTAAGAGTATATTTGATAAGAGACCCCTAAAAGCGTCCAGCTGATGATTTATGGAAATGTTGTGCTTCATGCGGGCTCTCTCCCTTGTTCTCGTCTCAGTCGTTTTGTGCATTCTGCTGGCGGTGGTTGCCAGCGCCGATTGATCGATCAAGTGGTGCGTTCCAGTGCGATCCGGTAAGGGTTTGACCCACTCCACAGCACCACCTTGATGCCGAGGCTGCACCAAGAGCAGCTCAACCATGGACTCCAGTCACTTAGCCGTGATAATGGGTAAGTCCGACGATAGATAGCACGTCTCTCGATAAGATAGCTAGAAAAGGGTGAGATGTGGTATCATCTTCGTTGGCTATCACATCAGTTAGAGGCGAGATACCGATGTTCGTTAGTGCCCACAGTCTGCGTGCGATCAGCAAATACTATGCCCACCAAGATGAAAGTAGCCTGGACAAACTGTGCCACTGGACTAATCATATGCACACTTTTATCTTGGCTAAGCTCCATAATGTGTTGTTTGCTCTATATTTCGGTACGATAGCACGCCGTAGTCCCTCGCCAGCTGGGATCTCCCGTTCCTCATATGGCAGTGTTGGATCCACCGAGAATATCCGCATTCGGGTCGAAGAGGATTGCGGAGTCAGTGAATCAACGCCCCTGCTGGCTGCAACTCAGAGATCCATTAAGTCACCCACATCTTCTGCAACCTCCTCTTCCTCCTCGTCGCCTTCCTCCGGAAACTCGATCCTCACAAAAGACTGTCTCAATTGGCGATCGGTCGGATTTCTGGTCATGTGTGCCTCCGCCTTGGCACTGGCCGTCTATTTACTCTGGAAACAAAGTGAGTTTCCCAGCTGATGGAGGTCGTGGTGGCCGAGTACGTGCTCGATTCGCTTTTCTGAAAATAAATAAATCTGAATTAGCTGTGAGTTATGATAAGCTGAACCTCTGAGTTTTTGTGGCGGAAGTGGTCAATGTACACGAGAAAAGTTACTACAAAATATTAGCAAGCTTATTTAAAATTTAATTTGATTAATATTTATAAAAAAGATTTAATGATATTTTAAAATTATAATTTTCGAATGGTACCTTTACTTATTTGTAAATAATACAAAACATAAAAAAATAATTGTATTCAAAAAATTTTTAAACGTTAGTCTTTGCATTGCTGTATTTATAAAATGTAAAATATATTATTTTAATTGTTATTTTCAATAACATTTTTTATTTATAGCAGTAAATATTTTCAAATTAAATTCGTATTATAAGATGTTGTTATCTGTACTAACACTTAATGTTTACAAAATCAAAGTTTGGTCTTTTTTTACGCCTTTGACTGTAGATCAGCTTTATGATTCATGGTTAAATTTCTGAAAATTTATTTTTTAGGATGGTCAAAGCAACTTAATGTCTGAATCACTTTGAAATGCTTGCAGCCCAAATGCCGGACTTTGGCTACCGACTGAGTCTGGTAGAGCATGATATATGGTCGGATGCGGATCTTCAGGGTCAAGGAACTCTATTGGATCCGATTAATGTAATTTTTACGCATACAGAGAGCACCGAGTGCCGAGAAGATTGCCCAGAAGTTATACACAAGCTGCAGGTGAGTTAATCAGAAATATGTTTACTACCATTTAAATAAAACCCATTCGTATCCTTAGAAGTCCCTTTTGGAGGAACTGCCCTACAATTTCTTAATCGCCGGAGACTGTCAGGCCTTCGAAGCCTGTGGATGGCAATATACCAGTAATTTCTCGAGGGAACAGCCTGGAAATAGTTCTCTGGTGTTGGCCTTTGTGGGCAACTTCAGCCGAAAAGCACCCAGCATTTGCCAGTTGAAGACGGCGCAGGCCCTGATCCTAGAATCCCTGAAACGCAGAAAACTACAGCCAGAGTACCAACTGCATGTGGAGGGCAGCAATACGGAGGCACTGCAGCAGGAGTTAAGCCAATGGCCACATTATGCCGGCCACCTAAAAACCAAGTGAATGATAAGCAGAAGGTTCCAAGTTATTCCTCTCGTTTATTGTACGCCAAACACAAACAGTATACAAAGAAGCGCAGGATGAGTAAAGCGGGTGCCACCGATAAGCGAATCAGGGATCCCCAGGATCGGCCCTGGCCAGGATCGGGGGACCAGCGAAGCGTTGCGCATTGGGTTAACGGATGATGCCTAAGACTAAGGACTAAATACTACAACTAGAAATGGTTCGGCTAGTCGAACTCCAGCTTCCGAAAGCTGCCCTCGATGGACTCAATTTGTGATACGAAGTTGGGTCCGCCAGTGGAGGCCTTTTCCGCATTGAAGCTGCTTCTCCGCTGAATGCCGCGATCGGAGAGCAGGACGGTCTTGTCCAGACTAAGGATCAAATCCCGCTTGGCCCCCAGCTCCTGTTTCCACAGCTCGATCATCTCGCGCATGGGCATGGTGCCACCCATCTCCAACGGCAGACATCCCTGATCCACGCTCTTCATCAGCTCCTTTTCACTTCCGTAGATGATCAGGCGGTTCTTCATCTTGGAACTGACGCGGTTCTTCACGAAATCGATGAGCCACTTCAACGTGGAGGGCACATTGATAAGGTGGATCTCCTTGTGACGCATAGGCAGCGATTGCTCGCCCCACTTGAAGATGCGGGCAAACTCCGTGGGATTCCAGTTGGTCACATGAGCCGTGGACACGCCGGCAAAGTCACCCACATGCGACAGTCCAGTGATTTGGGTCTCCTGGTCCTCCATCAGGCATTCATAGGTGAGGAAATGCGCCTTGGCCTGGTCGCAGCTGGTGTGGATTTTCGGATTGAGGCATTTGGCATTGATGACCACCACTCGGCGACCATGCTTATCCCGCTGCGGCACTGCAAAAATGTATCCCTGATCGATGAGATCTCCTAGTCGCGGCTCCAGATAGTCCAACTGGGTGCTCATGTGCGGGAATGTGCGTCGGATGTTCAAATACTTGAGAAGCGTCTGCTCCGCCATGGGGACACTGAACTTCTTGGCCCGCAGGAAGCGCAGCAGGAAGGTATCATCGCTTCGAACATTCTGCAGATCCTCGTTCTTGGCCACCCAATTCCGAAGCTGCTCCAGACTCTGCTCCCGGGTGCAGCGATCCTCGCGCAATTCCCGTTTGGCGATCTTCAGTAGAGCCTCTGGCAGGGCTGTGATTTCTCCCTGATCCTGCACCATCTTGGTCTCCTTCATTCCTGGAAGATCTAGCTTAGTTGGTGGCTACTGTGCGGTCAAGCGATTAGCATGGATTGCGGCCACTACAAAGAAAGATAAGAAATGCATGGCTTAGTCGGGGTTTTCCAAAGGCGAATAATATGATTAATAATAACTTGAGTTTATCAAGTCTTACAAGTTATGTTTAAAAACTGATTGATCTTTCTTTGTTTTAATTACATATTAAATGGGTAAAATGTAAAACTAAATAAGAATAAATTATATATCTGTCTGCCTATTGTTAGAAAAAAATATTTTTTTTTATAAGAAAGCCGATTCCGCTGTTTTTAACTAATAAATTCCCATTGACGAATTTACTGAGGGGTCAACAGTCACCAAATTGGTTGTTATTTCGTATATTTATCAACTTGGTTTAGTATCATAATCACATATGAGCTATCCCAAAAAAAAAAACTTTTTGTTTAATAATTCTGCACATGGTTTATCTATATGATTATTAATGGTCTTCCAATCGAAATTAGTTCAAGGTCTCAGAGATCTCAAGGCGAACGCCACCGGATCACGGATCGCTGTAATTTGCAAATATTTGCTAATTAAAGCTCACAAGAGACGCGTTTTTGTTAAAACACCGACCAAATGCAAATGGACAATACATTTTTTCAGCGAACTCGAAAGCGACGAAATGAGAAAATGTGTAATTTATTCACTTCTTTGTTGTTAGGGGACCCATAAACCGACAAAATGGCATTATGGCCACATATAAAATATGGCAAAAAGACCAAAAGAAAAAAAGCGAAACCTCAGTGGCGATTTGGTTCAAGTTCAAAACTGTTTACCGAAAGCGGGTCAAAAAATAAATATGGAAAATACAAAAGAGTGTTCATAATTAGCTAGTACAAGAAAGAGTTTCACTGTTTGCCAGATTTTGAGTTTGTTGCATCATAATCAAGGGGAAGGTACATATGTACAGAAAAATAAGTGGAAAGCGGTTGAACAAAGTTCCCCATTTTGAAGTCACAATGTTTGACTTTGCAGATAAACAAAGTGCGATCATGGGATGCACTAACACGCTCGGCTTTATCCCAATATTTGCACACAATTTGTGATCCAAACTGCGGCCCGATTTGATTGTTTTATGGCGGTCTACAGTCTCTTGCCCTTTGTCTTTGTCGCTTTTGAACCCCGATAATCCAAATCCGTTTTCCCATGACATCGACCCATTTGCATACATGATATGTCTTCGATTCGTTGCGAACTCTGTGCCATTTAATTGATTTCTGTTGGTTAAAAATTTGCATTCGCTTTCGTTTCTTTTTTTTTTTTTTAATATTTGTCGGTTTTTCAATTTTCGTTTAGTCGGTTTTTCCCCCAACTGGAAATGCGATTTCAAAATGTCATTGGGCAATGCGCCCGTTGGATCCCTCTTGCCATCTCTCTCGCACGGCATCTACCCCTCTCTTTCGCCTGCAGTTTCAACATGTTTATTAGGAGCTCGTTGTGGCTTGCGTGGCTTTTGTGTGGCTAACTGGGCAATAATGCAACAGGCGGTGCAATCGTGGCTTATTCGGTAATTGTAAGTCCACAGCCTCATATTCTCTTGGCTGATTGATTTTAAAGAAGGTTGCCAGTTGATTACACACGGATTTTGGTCGAATTTGTCTAAAGGTTAATTGCGTTTTGATATATCGCTAAGCTTTTGATTGCTTTTTGATTGAATTCTGCATGAAAATCAAATTATATTTTGCGATTTTGTCTTAAAGCTTTCAAACTTAAGACTTTTTAAAAAATATTATCACAGATCTGGTAGTTGGCTTGTTATTTAGATTGAATTTCCAAGGATATGTTTTATTTATTTCAAGCTTCTTTTTTGAAATTATTCAAAAATGGTTGGATGACTAGTCATTTTCCACTTATGATATTCCATTATAACAAACTTTGAAGTTATAAAAATATCCTTTAATTCGATTTGAAGTTTTTTTATGCAGGACAGATATAGTTCATCACAAACACAAGCACTTTAACACTTACACCCTATTTTAGATTCCTTGATCGCTTAATATAGCACGTAACACGCTGCGTATGAGCAATGCCAAACGCCCGATTAGCAATCCTTGATGCGGGGTCTTGATCTACAACTTATATATCTCCTCGAGATATGGCAATGTCAGACGATCTTCGAGAGACGACGCGCCGATTGAAAAGTACGTCCAAACAACGCGGGGTCCAAACAACGAATGACGCTGGCTGGAGAGGCCTCTCGTCTAGCAAAACAACGAAAACGGCGAGGAGAAACAAAAATTGTTAAAGAAATTAACTGGATTATATAATGGCCACACAGACATGAGCACTATATGGCAAAGCCTATGCCGAAGCCGAGCGCCTGAGCGGGATTCGAATGCAATCTGATCGGTTTGTTCGCTTGGCCTGGTAAATGCTGCTGCTGCATAAAGATAGAGATGGAGATGGAGGGAACAAGTTTTTGGCCAGCCGAAACTGAAAGTACGAAGTACACGAACCTTTTGGCCAGATGCCTTTGTTGGTACTGAGGAGAGGAGAGCCATGGGTTTGAGCCTGATCCCAGCCATCAAAGGTAGCAATAAAGTATTAAAGTGTTGCTGTTGTTAAGCAATGGCAGTCAGTCCATTCAGTCAGTTGGTCACTTGGCCAGTGGTTGTAAATCAGGTTCGCTGGCGGTTCATTTTCGACTTTTCTCCTCGGCTCCTACACCTAGCAACCCCCGTACATAAACCCACATTTTATCCACCGCCCCCCTTTTCTCATGCCTATTTTACTCATTAGGTTTATTGAAAAACATTGCTCAGTGGGGCGACTGGGTCTGGTAAAAAATTTGCATTTTCATGGTCCGACTTCGGATGGCAGTGAAGCGAGAATGGTCGCCAACCTTGAAAATGCAATCCCCACATTGGTAATGATGGTGTCGCTGTTGCTAATAGCCAAACACCTAATGACCAACCGGCGGCTACGTCATCTGGGTGATATGGTGATATTTACTCAGCTCTGTAGTTCCAATTCGAATTGCGACTGCAGTTTACGACTGGGAAATGCGTTGGCCCTTTGATATTATGGGCTCTTTTTTGGACCCAGGGCCGTGACGTGGGCTTGGACATTTGAGCATCTTAGGCATTTGGTCATTTCCCAACCCGAAGGGCGTAGGTCTAATGATCGGTGCATCCACTGAGTTACGATCGTCAGCATGCTAATAAAATTATTCGTTTCCGTTTGCCCGCGGGCGACTCGATTGGATAGGTGGAGGAACGCCCTGAGTGCTGAACAATCATTAAACTGCAGTGTGAAAATGCCTTTGTTCGATGATAATTAAGGTTGATCTTGTTATGAGCCCTGATCCAATGACAATTTCGTTAATTGATGTCCGAAAGAAGGTCAGTTGTGAGGGTAGTCCCTTAGCAACCTTGATGGCATGCCAAGAAAATTTTAATTATTAGCATTATTATTAGCATTTAGCTCTGTAGAAAGGTGACCTACACTAAAACTTTTAAGTCTCTAACCTTAAAGATTTTGCAATATTTAAGTGCAGTTTGTTTTCCATTTTGACGATTTGTATGATATATAGTAAAATTTAAAAATATAAGTGAGGACACTGGGTTACAATGCACCTAGCACTCTTCTTTATATAGAAAAATTTTTCTGGTCTAAAAATATTTAATACTAAGCTCTGTAGAAAGGGGATCCACACATCTCACTTTTAGGCCAACTGTATTTCGATTTGAAACTAATATAATTTTTTCATATTATTATTATTAAAATTATTGCAATTTGAAGGATATTGAACCTTTCAAAATTTTCGATAAGTGG